AATGTCATTTGTTCCAGAAAGAGGTGCTTTACTTAAGCTACATTGTTAGTGAGCATGGTGTACCAACTGATCCTGATAAGGTGAAAGCAGTGCATGACTGGCCAACACCAGACAATGTGGGAGAGCTAAGAAGTTTCATGGGACTCTGTACTTACTACCGCAAATTTGTGAAGAACTTTGCAACTATAGCTGCTCCCCTACATGATTTGACTAAAAAAGGCCAAAAGTTTGAATGGACAGTTTCTTGCCAGCATTCTTTCAAGACGTTGAAGGAAAAATTGGCCTCTGCTCCACTTTTAAAGCTTCCAGATCCCTCACTGCCGTACATACTGGATTGTGATGCTAGTACTGTCGGAATTGGAGGAGTGTTGTCTCAGAAAGTGGGCGAAAACGAACATGTGGTGGTCTACTTCAGTAGGGTTCTGAGTAGACCAGAGAGGAACTACTGTGTAACACGGAGGGAACTCCTTGCTTTAGTAAAGAGTCTGACATATTTCCACCCTTACCTCTATGGTGCAAGGTTTACCATTAGGACAGACCATGCTGCGTTACGCTGGTTAAGATCATTAAAGAACCCAGAGGGACAATTAGCACGTTGGATCGGAAAAATAGACCACTATAATTATAGTATTGAATATAGAGAAGGAAAATCCCATGGTAATGCTGATGGACTGAGCCGAAAACCCTGCAAAAATGACTGCAGACATTGCCGCAAAAGAGAGGTTGAACTAACCAGGTGCCAACAAGCTGAAGTCAAGTCGACTGAAAGAGTTGATGATGGTGAAGTGGAACCAAATATAGATATCAAGGCAGAATAGGAGAAAGACCAAGATTTGAAGCCAATGATTGATTTCCTAAAAGCAAGTGTTTTGCGCCCTGCTTGGGAGAAGGTGTCTAGTCTAAGCCCTGTGACAAAGCACTATTGGGCACAATGGGACCAGTTAAAGCTTGAAGATGGTTTTCTTCTCCAGAGACGGGAAACTTCAGATGGGAAATTGACGACTTGGCAAACGGTTATACCGAGAAAGTTACGGGAAGTTGTGCTGCGTCAATCCCACGATACTTTAACAGGAGGACATCTCGAAATTAAGAAGACATTGAGTCACCTACGACAAAGATTTTACTGTATAGGTATGAGGCGAGGTGTGGAAGAATGGTGCAGGACATGCAGTACATGTAGTGCTAAAAGGAGACCCAATCGTAAGGGACTCCCACCTTATGAAGAGTTGCCTGAGAATGTGTCAGAGTTTGTGAAAGTGTTATCGGAAAGGATGGATGATATTCACCATCAAGTGCGTTCAAACTTGAAAACGTCTGTTGATTCGATGAAGTTAACTTATGATAAGAGATCTACTGAAGTCAGCTTTGTACCAGGAGACAAGATATGGTTGTATAATCCCAGGAAGACCAAAGGGAAGTCTCCTAAGTTGTCTTCTCCATAGGAAGGCCCATATGACATAGTGGATCGTCTCTCAGACGTGACTTTCCAGATAAAATGTGGTCGGTGAGGTAAGCCAAAAGTGGTGCATACCAACAGGCTTTGGCGTAATCATAGTCCAGGACATTTCAGTTGGGACGAAGTGAACAATCGAACAAAAGACGCCACTGAAGACGTC